ACTATGTATGTGGGAATAGAGTGAGTGTGCTAATGTGTGTTTGTTATGACCCGAGTGATTTGTGTACGTGTGAAATATGGGCAGTCCGTGACTTTGTGATTCTGTGTGATGTGTGAATTATATAGGATTATAGTCTATTGTGTGGTCAGGCTAAATCCTGACTTAGTGTTATATAGACTTTAGCCTGCTGTGTGGATTGGCTAAGTCCATGCTTAGTGAATTACATGGACTTCAGCTTATTATGTAGTCTGGCTAAGTCCATTAGTGTGAGGATTATAGTTTTCCGTGTGGAGTGGCTAAATCCTCGCTCAGAGAGACTATAGCTTGTTGTGTGGTCTCGCGAAGTCGTACTTGTTGCTTGGAAAACTACAAATGCATGTGCGTGATTTACTTTTGATGTAATTTGTTTGCTTGCATGTGATTCCCCCAAGTGTTGTGTATAAGTGTTTTTGAAACTTGGGGATCTCACTGGACTTGGCTCACCCTTTAGGTTAATTTTACAGTTTTTTTTAGGGAAGTGCTATTGGCTGGCTCAAAACATATCTCTTGGGTATACCGCTTGAGTATTTTTGTGTTAATTGAAACCTGAATGTCGTCCTAACCTTTCAATTAAAAAACAAAAAAATAGAATTTTATTTAGTCATTTAATAAAAGTTTTGATTATGTTTAGTAGGATATAACTTAATTATTTTAATGTGTAATTTAACTTTTATTTAGTAGTGATAATGTGAGCCATGTTGTGAACTAGACAGACACCTCACTAAGTCTCCTTTATCGGCATTAAGCTGGTTGGAGTTAATTAGCGGATGTCACATTAATAATTTTGGGCTTGTATCCATCACATTTAATACTTTCCTTAGCCCACTTGAAGAAGTTGTCTAACCTTCAACGGTCGACAAGGGAGGTATTCCTAGTACTTCTATCTTCTAGTACTATTCTTGTTTCTAAAACCTTCGGAGATGGTTCAAATTTTTATTTTTATTTTTAAGGAAATCAAAGGCAGTACTTGGCGGGAGGACCCAGATTTTATTAATTTTATTAATTTAAGACTTACTCAAATAAAAAAGAAATTGTCTTACAAAAGTTTTCTAGAAAAACTCCTTGACGGTTCGTATGCGATCTATTTCTATGAACTGTCTTCCAAAGACCATCTTATAAATCCTCTGATAGTTCAGCTGTGCTACTGGAGAGGGTTTCAAGTAAGGCTTCAAGTAGTACGAATAAGTCTTCAACTATATGCTTCAACTGTAAAGCAAGAGGACATTATTCAAGAGATTGTCCGACCATGAAGACAATGATGATTAAAGATGATGAAGCCAAGATCAAGAGACTGAGGAGGAAGGAGAACAGTGAATGTGTCAACCTGTATTTGATGAAGGAGAAGACGAGAAAAAAAAACTAAAGCTAAAGATGCTCATGTGTTTGTTAATCTTTGAGCTTTGCCAACTCAAGTTGCTGAAGATTTACGACAAAGGAACAATATATTTTATACGAAGTGTCGCATGAAGGATAAGGTATGTTTGATTATCATTGATCCTAGATCGTGTACTAATGTTGCTAATTCCTATCTTGTTGAGAACTTGAAGTTGCATACGATTAAACATTCTACACCCTATCGATTGAAATGGTTACACAATTGGTGAATATGAAGTTTTGTGTGATGTGGTGTCAATAGAGGCTATTCATTTTTTGTTGGGACGACCATGGGAGTATGATTGCAAGGCCAAGCATGATGGTTTTACGAATAAGTATTCATTTGTGATAGATAATAAGTGTTACACTTTATCTCCTCATTCACCTATTCAAATTCAAGAATGTAAGCTACAAATGCATCAAGAAAGAGAGAGGAGGTGAACCGATTCCAACAAAGCTGAGAACTCAACTTCTAAAATTAAGAAAGAAGGTTCAAAGAGAGTTCAAAATCGAGGAATGAATTTCTTTGCTAGCCCTAGAATTGTGTATAAATGTTTTGTAAAAGTCAAAGGTATGTATTTAGTATTATTCAATGATAAATCTTCAGTGGTAATCGATTCTTTTAACAATTTGCCTAAGGTGTTTCAAAAGCTACTCCAAGAGTTTGAGGATGTATATCCTGAGGAGTTGCCGACTGAGCTCCCTCTAATTCGAGAGATAAAACATCAAATTGACCTTATACCTGGATCCGTGATTCCGAACAGTCCAATGTATCGAACTAATCCTGAAGGAACAAAATAGCTGCAAAAGCAAGTGGATGGACTCCTTGCTAAAGGTTAAATTCGAGAATCACTTAGTTCTTGTGATGTTCCTATTATATTTGTTTCTAAGAAAGATGCTACATGGCATATGTGTGCTGATTGTTGTGATGTTAATAAGATTACTATTAAGTATAGAAATCCCTAGGTTAGATAATATGCTTGAAGATCTTTATAGTGCTAGATCTAAAATTGATTTGAAATCAGGTTACCATCAAATTAGAGTTAAACATGGAGATGAGTGGAAAACTATATTAAAAACTAAGTTGGATTGTATGAGTGGATAGTAATGTTATTTGGATTAACTAATGCACCTAGTAGATTCATGAGGCTAATGAATTATATTTTGAGGTTTTATATTGGAATGTTTGTAGTAGTGTACTTTGATGATATCTTAGTTTACTCCAAAAATATACAAGAACATACTAGCATGTGAGGTTAGTCTTTTGAACACTGCGAGATAAGAAATTATATGCTAATTTACCTAAGAGAACTTTTTTCTGCTAAAGAAATAGTATTTCTAGGATTTGTGGTTAGTGGAAATGAAATTCATGTTGATGAATCTAAGATACAAGCTATAAAGAATTGGCCTGCACCTATAAATGTATCTCAAGTGATATCTTTTCATGGTTTAGCTAATTTTGATAGGAGATTCGTTAATGCTTTTTCTACTAAAACCGCCCCATTAAATGAGTTGTCAAAAATGGATGTTAAATTTGTATAGGGACCCTCTCAAGAGAATATTTGAACAATTGAACAAAGATTTGTGTACTGCCCTTGTCCTAGCATTACTGGATTTTGATAAGCCTTTTGAGTAAGAATGTGATGCATCTGGGATAGGAATATGAGATTTACTTATGCAACACAAATGTGCTATTGCTTATTTTAGTGAGAAGTTGAATGAAGCTTGTCTTAATTATCCAACTTATGATAAGAAACTTTATATTGTGATTAGAGCCTTAGGACTTGGCAATATTTTTTGTTGGCTAAAGAATTTTCATGCTAATCATAAGTCTCTGAAGTATTTGAAATCACAAAATCGTTTGAGTAAGCGGCATGCTAAATGGGTAGCATTTATTTGACATTTCCTTATGTCATCATGCATAAAGAAGTTTTTGATACTTTGTTTAGATGTTATGTGATGTTGAAAGGATTGGAATTCATTACGAATTCTTATGCTATGAACGTTTGCAATGGCTTCGTAGAATTTGTTGAGGCCTTTTGCAGACACTTTTGAAGGAGGAAAGCCAAAACTGTTGTGACTCTTATAAGAAGTGTTCAGTACAAGAAGGTTGTATTTGAGCCCGGCGACGGAGTTTGGTTACATTTACGAAAGAAAAGATTTCCCAACATGAGGAAGCCTAAGTTGCACCCTCGTGGCAATGGTCTTTTTCAAGTTGTAGCAAGAATCAATGATAACGCCTACAAACTGGAGTTACCTGGAGAGTATGGTGTTAGTGGTAAATTTAACGTTTCATATCTCTCTTTCCTTTTGATTTTGATAAAGGATTGAATTCGATGACGAATTCTTCTGAAGAGAGGAGGGTAATGGAGACCATCAAGCTACAAGTGCTCAAGAGGACATCCAAGTTAATGAAAGTGAGTTCGTAAAGTTTGTGAATGTACGTGATGAACCAATTATGAAAATTCCTCATATTGTGGATCCGCTATCTGGTATAGTTGGCACAATCACTCGTTCAAGATCCAAAACTGTGAAAACTGTCCTTAACAATCTAGTTATCTCTACATGGGTTAAGGAAAGTATTAAATGTGATGGATTAGTGCCCAAGATTGCTAATGTATTACAAGCGCTACCAAATGGACTCATGGACCTAGAAGAAGGCTCAACTCAAGGCCCACCGCACATTGACAAGATAGTATTCATCCTGAGGATCCCCCTTATTTGCGACGGCATCAACGTTTAGTTTATCGTGTTCAAGAGGTTCCAGTTTCTTATCAAACTCTGCTTTCCTGTGACCATCAACAAGTCATAGGGACAGACACTCGAATACATCAGGTTCTATCTTCGGGGAGCCAGTATTCTCTCATGGGCAGCTGTACGCCGCCCTTTTCAGAGCGAAAACCTCCAAGGCCGTGAAAATCCTGACCATGCCTCCTACGTTGGACGAGGTATTACAAGACAACACCAAGACTCAGGACATCGTCTATAAAGAGGTCTACAAATTCGTCGCACAATAAGAAATACCCTAGCACATGTCGCTCCCATTTTTACATGTCTAATCAAAGCTATTTAAAAACTTATAAATAGGTAGTGGGATGTATTAGTGTATCATAATTATAGAGAAGTTATTTTTTAGCTAATTATCTAGCTTCCTTGGTGACGACAAATTCAGCCAGCCTTGTTAGTCTGGATTCACCACCACCAGGAGTTAGTTCTTGGTTAAAAAATAATGTAATAGCGGTGGCATACCTTTACAACGTTGTAGTCCCGTAAGGAGTCTAATCACTCTTATTATTACCCCAAAAAAAATGTTTCTTTGCTTTAATATGTCTACAAAACATTTATTACCATTATATTTTTGTTGATTATATCACTTTCAATATGTTTAGTTATCATGTTTCATTCTGTACTGTTAAGAGTAACAATAAAAATTTAACCCAACCTAGAAAAAAGAAGAATTCATCAAAGATAGTGGAATAAAAAGATTTAAAATCAAACTGATCGCGAAACACGCGATGAAAAAGGTCTAGCAACATGAGTATATTAAAAGGTCAAAATATTCATTTAGATTTTTTCATGATTAACTACTTGAGTAAAAAAAAAAAAGAAAAGAAAAAAAAATGAAATCTCTATCTGCTTAGAGCAAGCCCAATACTTCGTAATTGGCATGAAACAATTTCCTCCCATTGGAGAGGTTGAAAGTAAAAAGTCCGTGTATTCTACTATTACAAGTAAAATGTAGGCAATTATTTTTTATAGACAGTAAAAGAAGAAAAAAAGAAAGAAGGGGGATGTTGTAATGGTGGACTATATAATACACAATCTGGTAACTTTCATTGCATGGAAAAAAAAAAAAACTTTTTAATGGATGGCCATAAAATCTGATGTGAAATGCATGAGACCATTTTTTACTCCATTTGAATTGAGTTTGCTCTTAAAACTCTAGAATCCAACCTAAGAGAGCAATAAAAATAACAATATAATTAATCTCACCACAACCCAATTTCCATATGGCATTCGGCTATTGGCCAACCAAAGCAAGCATGTCAGCCGGATTCCACTTCCCGATGCCTAACCAAAATATTTCTTCAGACAAACAAACAAAATAGAAAAAGAACAAAAATTGAATAAATTAATCTCAAGTTCAGAAAGTGCAGCTCACACTCTCACTGTATATAAACCAATTCAGCCAATAGTTTTTCTTCCCCTTTCTATCTCTCTCTCTCCGTCTCTGTATCGTTGAAATCATTCCTCCCGGAGCTCCATCGCTTCTTTTCCTTCAGCCGGACCAATAATTAGGTCTCTAAAGCATAATCATGGCCGGATATCGTTGGGTTAGGCCTGAGGTATCTCATTTTCTCTTCATGGTTTTTGGTTTCCTATCTGGGCTTTTTTTTTCCTTCTGTTCTTGGCTTAGATCTATCTATTAATAGTATTTCTGTATCTGTTGTCATTGTTTTTTTTTTTTTTTTGAAATGGGATTAGGTGTATCCGTTATTTGCGGCTGTTGGAGTTGCAGTCGGAATCTGCGGATTTCAGTTGGTCCGAAACATTTGCATCAACCCGGAAGTTAGGTAATATTCGTAATCTTCCCATCCTTCCTTATTTTTCCCTGAAATTATTTAGTTTTCCTTGGGTTTTAATGTTGTTTGAGTGTAACGTTTATATTGGATCCAACGAGAATGACCGTATTCTCGGATTTGTCAGTCGTCTGGAAAGAATTATTCTTTAGTATTGACTGTGTAGAGTTGCAAATCACTAGATTAAAAGGGCCGATTCATTTTCTTACAAGACTTGATGTTTTGTTCTTTCTTTTAAAGTTTTTTCCTCGTAGCTTTTAAAACTGGATAAATTTACTGCGTAAAGTGCACGGATCCAAGGAATATTGATAGATTTTTTTCAATTGATTTTGTTTTGGAGGAGAAATTAGGATGGAAATTTTACATTGTTTTGACTGAAAGTTTAGAGTGTCTGTTTAGAATGATAACCAACCAAATGGTTATTATGGATTGGTAACTTCTTGGAATTTTTCCAATGCATTTGTTGAATTCTGGATAAAACTATGAAATACAATAAGCCCACTTCTTATGTCCAATGGGTGAGGTTATCAATTTCCTATAGGAACTGATGACAAAGGTTTCATTAAATTTTTGTTTGTCTCCCTCAAAACAAGGTAAACTTTCTCTAAATAAAAAATTCCAAGCAACTTTTCGTCTTTCATTGAATTCAATTTTTCCCTTTCAAATCCTTTCCATACTGCTTCCAGAAGAACACCTTATAGCAGTATTTTCTCCATGACATAGTCTCTTCTTGGAAAAAGTTTTATCTCAGCAATGAAAACAAAGCTTAATTTTCATGCAAAAGTTTCCTAATAAGATTAAAATGATACCATTCTCCCATTCTATAGGTTTGGTTTTTCTAATGCATAAAGAAATATGGTAATTAAGTTCTGGCTTGGTAATGATATGGGAGAGTTTGGATCTGTCTCTACTTTATCTCATGTTTCACTTGGGAAAGGAAAAACTCTCCTGTCTCTACTTTATCTCATGTTTCACTTGGGAAAGGAAAATTAGATTGAACTTCGATAAAATTTATGAAATGTAAAAGAAATTCAATGCTAAAGACACTACTCCCAGGTCGTAGAACTTGTAAGAAACCAAAATTGTGTCCCTTTATTCATCTTCAGTTTTTGTTTTGTTCATTCCTGGAATTTAGGGTCAGTGACATTGGTACTCCGTTTCTTGTTATCGTTGACTACAGTACTTATATTGACAAACACTTTTTACATTTTAGTAATGAGTGAGACTCTTCAGTTATGTGGTTTTGAACCTTTTTACTCTTTGTTCATTTTGATTAATGGTTAGTATCTATAATTGTATGATCTCTTTCAGATTCTTTGCCATAAACTTTATCCTTGATGTGTGCCTACATATATTGGCGTTAGTCAGTGTGGATTTATCCATGGCAAGTAAAATTAAGTTAGAAAAATCTTTATTCTTTCGCCTTTTGTCCAGGGTTACCAAGCAAAATAGAGCTGCTGGAGTGCTGGAGAATTTTACCGAGGGAGAAAAATATGCTGAGCATGGCCTGAGAAAATTTGTCCGAAACAAGAAACCTGAGATCATGCCATCCATCAACAGTTTCTTCGCCGATCCACAAAACAATTAGGTTCACCTATTGAAACTTTCGATAGTTATGGGATCGGATCCAATTCATTGTCAAACTAATGTTTGAACATGTTACTACTGCCTTTGTGTGTCTCTTGCAGCACACATTCGTGTTGTTATTTTTCTGTTTAAAACAATTACATAATGTTCTACTACAACAAACATATCGGAAACAACTATTGTCTATATTTTAAGTCTCTCTTGTTCACTTCCATATGTATTTGCTTGTCATTTGAGTAGAGCTAATGTCAACAGAGCGACGAAAAGGATTCACTCTGAATGAAAAAACAGATTCAGATTTTATACGCTCCTTTTAGTTCTTTTATTTTTTTCTTTCTTTTTTTTTTTTTTCAAATGGAGGACACTGAATTAGTGAACTTCGAAACTAGGTTGCCAATTCAAAATCTAGTCAACTTTTCCAAACATGGATGACTTTAATCAAAACTAATGCTACAGTAAACCTCGTGAACTTTTAGTGTCCTCATCCATGTTTATACTGAATTGAATTCTTCGCAGAAGTTTTCATAATGGTACAATTAGACTAAAAGCATTGCCAAGCCGTAGAAAAAGTGAACATATTTTCAATAATCTATATTTGATCAATTTTATAATTTGAGAAAGAAACGTTAAGCCCTAAGAATCAACTTTCTGCTGGCCATGAGATGTTACAAAACTTCTCTGTTCTAAGTTTACAGAATCTTTGCCTGTATGTATATCAGTTTATGTACTCTTCTATCATCTCTGTGTCTCTCGTCAATTGTAATAGTTAGCTCGCATTTGTTGCTTGTGAGACTTGGGATAAGCAAAGCTTTAGTGTCAACCAAACACTGCCCATTCATTGAATGACAGCAAAAGAAGATGATGTCTTAAACTTGTTATTTTCATGTAACCAACCATTGACCACAGTAGCCAGCCATACTGCAGGATCTTCGTCTGCAATTACTTGAATCAACACCACAGTCATCATCATCAAAGCACCTATGGTCAGCACGGGAATCTAGGACATGACAAGCACTCTCAACCCGTTCATCTTGCCCATGGTTTAGTGTTGTAGCTGGACAAACTTGCATTGACATTGCACTTAATCGTTTCACTTGCTTTTCATACTGCCCAAGTTACAGAACAACAAATTAGATTCATGTGGTTGATAAAGAAAGTACCTTTAGCAATACACCGAGACTCTCGAGTGATCTTTCCTTTGTCCATACCCTCTTTGCCCATGAGTCAAGGCAACTGGGGTCTCCACTCAAACAATATACCAGATGAGAAAGCAGATAGGTTTTCACCCCTCACAGAAGCAATTTCACCACTCTCGCTTAATATGTCTTCAATCCATTCAAATTTATATTGTGGCAAACTAGCAGGAGATCTAAATCCCAAGATCCAGAAGAAAATTATTGGGAGTCTACAACCTTTGCTTTCTGGGATTTTTCCGTTAACTTTTCTTTATATGGTCAAAGGAAACAGATTAAAGTGAACAGTAGATGAAGTCATGTAACAATTGACATTTTAGGAGACAGTAAGAATAAGCAAATCAGTTTGGAATGATAAGCCTAAGAATAGGAAATTTATTCATAGCTTTTGTCCGGAACACTAAAACCAAGAATCTTAAGGTAACACATGCATACCATGAACATACTATGGAAGCTGAAAGGAAAACTACAAGAATAGGCGACTAGAGCAATCACCTTTGTTGATGTCCAGTTGTTTGAATTATAAGTGTCTGGAAATCTCTCTTGCCATGAGCTCAAGATAGGCAGGGGATGACCCTCAGTTGTAAAAATGTAATTATGATTGACCAAAAATGTGCCATCGAAAAGAAGATACAGATACTTGCAGCTGCAGTCCAAAATCATTAAAGAGAAGAAAGTCAAAGGGACAAATAAAGGTTGACTTATGCTGGATATTTGAGGGACTTCTTCGCTGAAAATTAGTGAACAACATGTTCTTCTCAATTAGAACCGAGTCTGCTTAAGACTACAAAAATCAGAAAACGAAAATACTTACGTTTCAGAAAGGAAAAAACTATGTTGATGATCTTCTAACTGCATAGTTGTTACATCCCTTATGCTGGCATATCCACCTTCAACTTTAGTGTACAAATTTAGAGAATCCATGATTGATTCGCCCACTTCAATGTACCAGGGATCTAAACACAATAAAGTTTGACAAATTTCAGCATAAATGTGGACAGCAGGAGAGCCGTAGTCCAAAACATGGTCCTCAAAACCTCAGTAAATCTTTCACAAGAAGTGTAGAACTTTATTATATGTTGCCAGCATATTAGATACAGAACTGATATCTCATTCTAGAAGTTGTTAACCTTGCCAGCTCATATCATGGGGCTGATATCTTTAGATTTCATTTTGCACATTTGTAGCGTCTCCATGGGAAATTTTTTTTTTCTTAAAAATGGTTCCACTTCAGAGTTGCTTAAAGTCCTCGCAGCATCAGATGCATGAATTCAGAATCTTTGGAAGGATTACCCACTCCAACATCCAAAATAATGACCATTCAAGAAATTTTTACTGATAGTGAAATAGTCAAAAGTCATTACCTTTTGTTGCTTGATATAGGTAAAATGTGGATTCCACCAATTCAGGACGCAAAGGATAGTACTTTTCAGTAGGATGCAACATCTGATGATCGAGCAGGTATCTGGATAATCAAAAACATAAAAATGCATTACTCGCCCTTCTTAAACAATCTGTCAGGATGCCACTGATTGTGAGATCAATGAAGTTGTCCTTCAAATTCTGAGAGATTAAAAGAACGATAACTATCACCTTTCTGGCAGTACACCGAATTTGTTCCAGATATGATAGAACTCACGATGAGACAAATTAGCAGCAGGAACGTCGCCAACTAGCACCTGATGTCATATAGCCAAATAAGGATGCTTCCAACTCAAATTCAAACACAGCTAAAGTGTTCGCAATTGCCTACCTGCAGGCCAGGCCAAAATGCTTGCAGACTGGTAAGCTGCCAATAAGTTGGCTTTCCTGTTCTCATGTCAGCTTCATGATACCTGATACCAATGAAATGATGGTCAACTTGATAGCAGCCTTCAACCATGTCAGGTATAAGTTATAGCTAAAAGGGAGTGGATGAAGCCATCAATGGATGATTGTAGGCAATCAAATAACAAAATGCAAACAGATGGAACTTTATCATTCATAATTTTGATACTTCTGTGTGTAGCAGTAAAGAACCAAAAGAAGAAACACACAAAAACTGTGTGCGTGTGTGTGTGTGTGTGTGAGAGAGAGAGAGAGAGAGAGAGAGAGAGAGAGAGAGAGAGAGAGAGAGAGAGAGAGAGGGAGGGAGGGAGGGGAAAAGAGAGGTGAAGGAGAGAGGGAGAGAGATAGAGAACCATGGGCCGTATCTAAAGTATTTCTGAACAGCAATGTAAGCAGATTGAAACATCCTCCAGAATTCATCCCTCCCAAAAAGAATGTAAGCTTTGATAAGGTACTCGTAGAATGAATCCACCCCTACAAGGAAACATGAAAAATAAAATCAGGCCCAAAAGACTGATAACTAGAAATGCAATGAATATTGAACAGATTAATACAGCATAAAATAAATCTTGTTCTTCATATTATATACAAAACTCTGTGAGATAATCCTTTGATCACGCAAGGTGAAAATTGGAAAAAAAAAAAAAAACAAAAGTGAAAGCGATGATTTCACCAGCTCCTATTCCAGCTGAATATTCTATCCATTCTCCGGTTACTACATCCAGTGTGGTTCCAAGAAGATTTAAGGAGCTTCGCATACTCCACAACTTGCGCAGAGCTCGTAAAGCAGCATATTCGAACCTTGGATCACCAGTTAAACGTGATAATGCCCCCATTTCAAGGATTAAAGAACCTAGAAGTGGACAGGGAGAAAACAACCAAGGTTTAGAACAAAAGCTCCAATGGTAAAATTTCACAGCTGTTCTTTACTACTTTATGAGTGGGGGAGATATGTAGTTATGCATGTTTGTTAGGTATGAATGATTACAGAGTGAAAAAGGGAGAGAGTTCTGACCACATCCAGAAGTGCTTGTTTCTGTAGTCTCATTCTCCATTACACCATACTGTCCACAGAAGTTTGCAATCAGGTGGTGTTACAACTCCCATTTTATAAGAAAATCAAGGAGAAATGGCAATCGAATAAATAAAAGATGTATGAAATTGCACATAAGCAGAAGCGTATAGACATGCACAATGGGCTATTAAACTAAGTTTCTCTTCCTGTGTGACAAAAGATATTTATAAACATACATTCAACGAGTAAATTCAAGGACATTCAACAAAGTTTCTTATATTGAACATGGTTTCCAGATTAAATCGGGCACACAAAGTTAAATTGAGTAATCATAATACAATACTGAAGAACCAAAATCGGTTTTTGCTTAAAACAAATCCTTCGGCCGTGTTTGGGCTTGTTTGTTATTTAGCTCAGCCAGGTTCTAACTCCCTAATATGAAGAGCGCCTCTGACACCTTACTACCCCTTGGAGCACCAACCTAAGGAATATTAAGCTGGTACTACACTACAGCTGTAGCCACTAAACTACCTAAGTATCTGGTTGTGACGAGCAATACCATTAAATCTCACAGAACCTCCAACAATTACAACCAAGATATTATTGAACCCAAAGGTCCCAAACAAGAGTGTGCCATAGCCACATTGATTCTTTTGTGACAACCAACTGCATAGTCTCTTCTTGTGTGGTTCATTATTTTCATCTGACACAGCACATCATCTTATAAATGGTACAATTCTTCCATCAAGATGCATATTTTAAATCACAATCCACAGCATGATTCAAGCTCAACTCTTAGCATTTTTCTTACTCGAAAAACAATGCCCTCTTTTCACCACTCAAGTTGTATAATGCTATCAATGGATCATTTATTCCGTTCAGTACTCAGAAATTTGAAACATAGTTATCATTCAATATATTAACCAGAACTTATAACTACTTTCTCCAGCAATTTTTAATGCAGTTTCGTTGCCTGAAATACTAGATCTGCTGTTAATTATGCAGTGTCTCGTGTTTATAACTGATCCCAATACAAAATAGATATTAAGAAGTTGAAGTGTGAGATCAAGAATGGATAGACAACTATAAACAGCCAAAATTCTTAAGAGTGAGAATTAATTTACACTTGCAGACGTTGCTGAGCATCTGCGTACCTTCAAATTGATCCAAGCATAAGGTAGTCCTGTTGGGGTATCAAAAGCTCTCAAAAAACGTCTCCCCAAATCCTCAGCCAGATCAAGGAGCTGATTCTTATAAGTTCCTTGAACCAACCTGTTTGTAGAATCAGTGGCAAGTATATGAGCAGAAACAAGTCCTCCAAGAACTCTTATGTTGCACTATCAACAAGAAAAGATAAAGATCAAGAAACTTCATTTACAATTTTACACAAGTCATTATCCTTATGTTGGTTCACATGGAACAAAACCTATTTGATTGAGTTTATCAAGTGTTAACAGCATCTCCATGAAGGATTGCATTTTGAATTCAATTTGAAACATTCAAAAAAACAAAAATCTTACCTCAAAAAGGTTTATCCTCGCATCTACATCAAATGTTAGATTTTCAGATAGCCAACTAACTCCTTTCTCAAATTCGGTGAAGTTACCCAGGATGACGAGGCTAAAACAAAACCAAAAAAAAAAGGAAAAAGAAAAATGTGAGGAATCAAAATGTCCAGCACTAGAGGAAATGTAAAATAAAAGTCTCTGAGCCAGATGATGTGAACCCCAAAGTTGGGTTCCTTTCTAATTAAAAATTTGCAAAGAAGCGCATTTGTTACCTGGATAGTGATTCTATTAGAGAGAGGGCAGATCCATTATAATGTTCTGGTTGATGTTCAAGCTGACCAATAGAAGAAAATATACAGTTACGAGTGGCAATTTATATTTTAAGGGAAGAAAATTTAATTATTACCTTTAAATTTCCTAGCTCAGTTAGAGAATCAGTGAACTCTTTTGTCAGAGGCTTCAGCTCATCATGCTACAAGAGAGCATCATAATTGCTCAAAATTTAGCTTAACTATTTATTCAAGAGCCTCCACGGCAGATGAGTTAAATATTATACAGGTTGTAATACTAAGAAATGGGAAACTCACTGGAAATGCGTGCATCATATAGTTGTCATACGCATGGTAAAACCTGATCCAGAAACAATCATTTTGTCAATGGAAATATGGCATCTTACCAAATCACTAGTAAAACCTCTCAACTATAAAAACATTAACACAAATTCTCAGGTCTATCCTTCCCCACCGTTTTCATGAAGTATTTAGGAACAAAGCACATCAAGAATATAAGTCACTATTCTTTTAAACATTTCAGATTGATGTGTCATTTGGAATGAGCAGCAAGTAATATTTAACAAATTCAGGCTTCTGCTTTAATATTTTCTCCATTACCAAGTAGCAATGTCGGCATGCTGCATCCTAATACACTTTCTCTCATATACAAGAAAAACATATTCAAAGCTTTTCCAAGCTCTGTTTTGATAATTTCACTATGACTTTTAATGAAGGGTGTCATGTAAACATGCTACGAGGAGTAGAATACTAGTGATGGCCAGAGTCAGACATCACACCTAAAACAAACTTTCCAGTCTGCACCCAGGCAGCATCTACTTTTGGCAACCTTGAGACTGTGCTATGCGTAGTGTTAAAACCTCTCCATTAATGGATTGACAATTTCAACAAGGTCCTAAATAAGGACCGGAGTCAGGATACTTGAAGGGTGGAAGTGGGGGCCCGGGAGGGGGAGGGGGGGGGTTGGGGGTTGGTGTGGAGGATGGTATGTTGGTGGGGAGAGAAGATTAAGGTGTTCTGTGAATCAAGGAACATTTTTCCCCTAATCCTGAAGACCTAAGCACAACCAACCGAAACAATTCTAATTTGCACGTGCTTGCAATGTAAATTTTTCGCCGTACTGTAATTTGAGATGGAAGAATAAAAGATCAAGCTGAGGGTTATACAATGATATGGCATCTTTCCGCGGGAAAGGAAATCCACCTTTGCTGGTTCACAATCACTATTTGAAAATTTCGCTGATCAAACTATAAAGCATCCTGTTTTCTCTGTCCCCTGACACCAAGGGATAAAAAGCAAGGAAACAGCTTATACACGTATCACTTAAGCCACCATAAATTCCTAAGGAGTTCAACGGCAAATAAAATAAATTTCTTTCAAAGAAGATTGCTACTTTGCTTTTTTTCCCTCAAGCGAATCCTCTAATTTGTGGCAACTCATTATAAACCCTAATACCCATAGGTGCATAGTTCCACATTGAATTCTAAACCAGTAATGCAAGACACACTAATCTGATCATACCAGAGTATGGCAATCATTAGACACATCATACTAAAAAATTTATCACCCTAAAATGAAAGGGTTCGAACACATAAATTCAGATCAACGAATCAATCAAACCCTCAACAAAATCAGAATTTCTTGATAAGGAGTCTAACTTGAATTATTTTGATATTTGCCAATCTGAATTGTTCTTAATTATATAAACAGGAACTGAGTTGTACATGAAATGCACAGAAGTACACAAAAGAAAAAGATAAAAAAAAATAAAATAAACTTTGGGGGTTGTGCAAAATTTATCTATGTACAGAAGAAAATCCTAAAACTTCAAGATAAAAGGTGCATTAAAGAACTATAACAAAAATCAATTCTAGTCTCAAAGTAAGGTTGAACTATACAGAAATAAGGGCAAGCATATCAATTCCCCGATTTCATAAACTCTTCCAGCCACAAACAGATAACTCAATTTTGAAATCTTAACACATTTCAGCAAGATAACTTCGTCAGTCAGTACAACATTTCTCCAAACTCCTGAAACAAACAGCTGTCAGCAGAGCCAAAAACATAGCTAAAACTTTGTTGACATACACATTGTCATCTAGCCAGAAACAGAAAAAAGGGTTGCAAATCAGATAGAACATACATTTTCCGGACTTTTTCACTCATCCTTTTTTTCTTAGCTGCCAAATAGCTATATGAATCCAGCTTAGAATTCGAAAGTAGAAACAAGTTGGGGCATATGAGCAGAAACAAGTGAACCCAAATCAAGATTTTTCTGGGTAACATGATCATTGTGCAATACGGTCAGTAAAATTTGAGCCGTGAATGAGTAAAAGAGGAAAATTTACATTGGTCTTGAGGCTTTTGTATTATTAGTTCATGAGAATTTGTCATCGTGTTAGGAACTGGGGAATGGAGATGAATGAATTCTGCCAAAAAAAAAATAATTATTGTTTCCAGCAAAACTTTTCAAACGTGGACCAATCATGTCTAATTATAATTTCCTCGTCACAACTAATTTCCCATAAAAGTCCCTTTAGGCCTGAGATTGGGCAATCAAGGCCTTGAATTAAAAACTTCTGACAAAGTAGTCCAAATAGTATCTATGGTTGTTATTTTAAAATTATTCTCTATGTTGTGTTTTATTTTTTTATTTTTCTTAAGAGAACCAGGGTGGTACCTGACAGTCATCCCCTGATTTTATTAATTAAAGTAAAAATTACAATGACAGTGCTTAAGACTTGCCTAAAAGAAAAAGTCTGTCGTATAAAGATTTTCTAAAATCTCATGACAGCTACATAAATTAATCACTAAGAGGATTTCTTACAAAGATTACACTAAAAATCCATGGCATCTCTATTCTTACATTATTCTACTCTGGGGGCATGTTTTACAAAGATCTTACAAGAATCTCATAATAGCCCCTATACTATTCTTTTTACTATCTAAAAACCTATATAATCTTTAAATAAGGAAAAGTCATGAAACTCTGATCCTACAAGAGTCTGTTTTTCTTATTGTGATTTATTTCTATACTTATAAAAGTCATAAAAAATTTTAATTCCTCAGTTATGGTTCACCGGAACTTCAAGAATTTTAAATTGGACTTCTGATTAGCTGAAAAACTCCAATGACGTTAGCAATGTATGCATGAGCACTTGGATCGGTAAAATTGGTCCGTAGTGTAACATTAGATTTTTTATTATGAGTACCCTTGTCAATTACACAATTTCTTAGGCTTTCTTTTTCTCAAAAACTTGTAATTGAAAATTGAGCGGTCAAAACGACGTCGTTTTCACTAGGGTATAAAAGCGACACTAATCAATCTCAGTCCACCATCCTTCCTCCTCCGTGATTGTTTCCCAATCTTCTCCGCCGTTTTTTTTTAGCCGTTCTCCCAGATTTGTATTGACGTGCATAAAACACGATTACATATTAATTTCACTTCATATAGCCCTTCCGCATTTGTGGCCGTTCCCAATCTCCAATCTCCATTTTCTCTTCGATTATCTAATTTCCAAAACTCCCTTTCTCTTAGCGATTACCAACAATTGGGCTTTCGCTTTTTAAGTTACTTTGATTTGTATTTTGATTTTGTTTTGTATTCCTCTTTTGGGCTTAAGTTAGGGGTTTAGGGAAATGTAATGGTATGGGAATTTGAGGTTAATTTTAGATTTCAGAATTCAGGGGGTAAGGAAGAAGAAGAGCAAAAATTGAAGAAATTAAATTAGGGTTAAAGAGATGAATTAGGAGAAAACAAGATTTCTGATCAAATTTTCGTTAATACGATAATCCCCACTACAGACATAGTTAACAAAGTTTTATACAATTAAGTCAATCTAATCATAACTTCAACTCTTGCAAACTTAATAATTCTCCTTTGTTCCGTTGTGCATGACAATATCCTCCCCTCGAAACAAATCTTGTCCTCAAGACTAAGGCTCAAATCTTCATAGAAAGTTGTAACAACCTTGATTTTTGAATCCACCTTATTTATTTTATTACTAAAACAGTAGTGTAGAATACTTGGTATTACATTATGAAAAATTTCAATGTAGTTAGTGACTAGAATAAGCATATGATCATTTCATATTAAAAAAAAAAGAACAGAAGAAGAAACATGATCAAGTCTCGGCTGGCCAATTTTAGGGTTATTTGGGGAACATCAAGTGTTAGTTTAGTTATTTTTGTTAAAAGGAAAAATGTGAATTAAAGCTAAATGGAAAACAAATATATATATATATATATATATATATAGTAAAAGTGAGGCTAGTATGAGCTGCAGAAGAGTAAGAGCTTGGAAGAGGAAGAAAAGAGTAGGAAGAAGAATTTCTCTACGACGTCGAAACAATTTCGGCTTGGAGAGGTAATTTAGAAAACTCTCTTTTAGTGTATCTTTATTTTAGATTAGATAATATTTTAATTAGTAGTTATGTTTATCATTAGCTCAGGGTGATATTAGAGTGTTTAAACATGAATTACTTATGTAAAAGCTAATAGATATTTGTAAAAATTCGTAAGCAAGGGTGCTGCAGGCAGCACTGTGCGTCTTTGGAAAAATACCGAAAACTCTTTGTAGAAAACTCCAAATTAGAAACCGTTTATTGCATATTAAACATAGATTATAGATCTTTCCAGCAGTATAATATTTATAGATTGATTCATCCTACATCAATACATTTTATTCCCGCAAATTAACATGAAAACTACTTATGTGTGTTATTTTGAGATTTGAACAAGAATTCTTTAACTTATCATAAAGTTATTGGAGAGTTAAATTCTGACTTAGAGATGACAAAAAGTTATTAGAATCTATGAACCCTATTCTTGGATTATAAGTTTCTATAGACATGGGGGAATATCAACTAGTACAAAACCGACAGAGAAGTTTTTGTCTTCAGCAAAATGTAGTCTTAGCAAATTGGACGTAGCTCCTTATGGGAATATCCAAGTAAGGAACCGTTTATTGCATAGTAAACTAGACTTGCAGAGGTTTCTAATCATATAAAATTTACATAATTATTAATTTTATATTAGTACAGTTCAGTCGACGAAACATGACTTAAAACCAATATCAAATCCATTTCTAGTTTTGTAACTTATGTTTTATTTTGTACATAGCCAATGATTCTTATATTGAACCTTTTTAGTATTCTCTCGATATTCCTTTCCAATGATAACTAAGTATTTATGGTTGAAATCATTTAGAGCTTACAATCTTTCTCTTAGGATATAGAATAATAAGGAACAATGGCAAAATCCGACATAAAAGTAGTCTATTGTACTATATACCAAATAGTGTAGGGAAAGTGCTTAAAATTTAGATTAAATTAGTTACATTATCAAGAACCTAGCAAATATAAAATAACAGTACATTGGCAATAGTATTCTATTAATAGCATAGGGCTTCTTGATACATTGCAGGAGAAGTCTATTCCGAGACAAAGTTCATAACGATAATTGTGAGTATTCTCACTTTTTCTAAAACTATTTTAAGAACTGGGAGTATGGGAATATGTTCAAAAAACACTATACACTTGAGCACGTTCTTGTAATTGTTGAAACATCAAATGCATATAATTGAATGACTCGGTGGTGTACTTTACCGCCCCGAGATATGTGTTTTACTTGTTATCATTTTTGAAGTAAAGTTGAATTATTTATGTGTGAAATATTAGTTTTGATGGTGATTATACGATTGATTAAGTGAATGTTAAATGTTTTGATGGTGTTTACCACCTCGTCAAAATTTGCAATGTTATTGTTGAGTGTGTTCCGGTGGTGTACTTCATCGCCTCGGATATTATTTGTGCATGTAAGAGTTAAGAGTTGGGCACTACCTTGGTTACCAAAACTAAACGAGTCAAGCATCGGGATTGGTCGGATAGCTTGTTACCTTGGCTAGAGTTATGATACTCATGAGTCATCCAGAGTTGGTACCAAGGGAGACATAAGGGAAATTGTGAAAAAGAGTTATTGTTTGGGCTAAATGCCCCAGAGTTATGATCCGGCCTGGATTCACCATCTATAATGCCATATAGGCCAGAGGCGGCCCCTTGTCGCGATCCTCGTATTAACCCTATTGTTACTTGATTATTCTAAGTGTTTTGATTGTATATATATTTTATTGTTTTTATGTGAAACTGTTTTACAAGTCAATAATGTTTCTTTAAAATTATTTTATTAAAATTATTGTTGTAGTATAGTGAGAAACTCATTGAGCTTGGCGCTCACCCCCTATATATCTATATATTTCCCAATTCCCCTCCCAGGAACACATTAAGGAATATGCTGCTATCAAAGGAACAATGTTCTCGAGAGACTAGAGTAAGAACTTGAGATGGTCTATACCTCTGCTTAAGTTTAGAATATGAAGTAGGTTCAATAATATTGTTGTTAAGAGCTTGTTCTTTAATTTATGTAGAGGTAAGGTTTAGTGCAGAATAAGTTGATGTACCAGTTGAAGTTGAGGTATTATCCTCTTTTTAATAAAAGTTAATTTTTATTGAATCTTCTGTTGTGCAATTAAGTGTTAGTGGGCCTTAGGCGTAAGCCTGGTAGACATCTCAGAGTTACTAGCCTGACTTGTCTGTCACTTTGGCTTTTTAAAAAAGAGAAAAAAAAATGTTTACACAGAAATAGGCTGGTGAAACCCCCGGGTGTTACAAAGTTGTATGCTGCAATTATCTTTCAGGTTATAAGATGTTGCTCTCAGCTTGTTAAAGACATCCATACTTTCTTGTGAAAACATTGTACTTCCCTTGAATGTTGTCACAATCTTATCTAATGTTCTATAAGTATTGTCATCTTGAGTGTCGTTCATCACCCATGATTCTGTATGCAATCAAGTACAACTCTTCACCTCCATTGATTCTCCCAAGACCTTCAAATTATTGTAGTCGGTAGAAAGATTGATGAGCCTTCACCTTGTTAAAATTGAAAATCACCAATGACCTGCCAAATTAAAATCAAATTCGAATTTAAACGGGCGCAAGCAGCCTAAGTGAAAGAAAGTTTAAGCATTAAGAATTCCAGCCTCCATGCTATATTCCCAAGAATATTTAATGACCCTTAAAAGTTCCATCATATGTCGACACTCCCATGTTTTCAAATTTCCTACACTTCCCATGATGCTCTGGCTCTCTTTTTCTATCAAAACCAGTTGTTGCAGAATGATGCCAAGGTTGCAGCTCAAATTTTATCTCTATTCCATAACCCTACATTTTCATAAATATGTCAACTGATGCATTCAGGTTCACCATTTCAATTTTGATTGCCTTCACCGAATCCTTATACTTGCCTGTTGATTCCCTATTGTGATAATTCTCAACTGAGGCCACTCCCTTGATATTAAACTAAGGCTCAAGACAAAATTGTTATTATATGAAAACTTTGGTCTTCATTCACTAAATGCAACTTAATGATTGAAAACAA